ATCATTTTCCGTTAAAGGTTAGAAATAGCCGTTATGCCCTCGGGATATTGTTGACATTTTTTATCATGACCCCTCTACCTGCGATGTTTGAATATATTTTTTCTGCAGACAAAGGATAATATTTTCATAGTCTGTATGGGCTTCAAATAGTTTCTTGCCCGACAATTTACTTCAAATAACAAGATCAAATATCACTTAGCTGCAAGTTATCCTTATTCATATCAAGCTAATATCTGTTTAATCTAGTAATATTCCATTTTTTTAATATTTTTTTTTTCACATGACAAAAATACACGACCGACATAACCGGAACCGGAACCGGAAGTTTATGTCAAACAAGATTAAAGAGTAAGAGTATTAAAGGGAGAAAAAGATCGATTGTAAAACTATCATTTTATTTTGTTTGTTTGTTTTTTATTCATTTTTTATTATCTTTTAACGACACATTTATGACAAGACAGAACGGTTTTTTTCCGGATAAACTTTAAAACTCTTCTCATCTGTATGCCCTATACAACTTATACTGATTAAGTCCTCTTTGTTTAACGACGCGGCTGAGTCAAATATCGAAGCTACATATCACATATATATGTCCATTCGCTCCGATCCGATCCAAATAGTATATAGCCGCGGATGGCAGTTTGTATCAAATTATTTAAGATGATGTTAATTGTTTGAAATTAAAGCAAGGGAACTGTACTGAATTATTAATGATTGTCACATAAAAGAATGTTTAATTGTTAGCATCTATATACAAGAGGTAGAGGGCATTGAATGGCCAAGAACAGGAATGTTTTCCTCATTAAATGTTGATTGAATGTCGTGAAATGTTAAATGTAGCTCGCTACTTTTCGACCGAAATTTGACAACATCGCAGATCTTGATGATTTTAGTATGCAAACATCTTAGGGCCCGTCTACACCTATCCAAGTCTTGAATGCAAGTATCATATTCTCTTGTATTGGATAATGTAGACACCCTACTTGAATGAGTTTTAAAGAGAAATTATGTGACATCCAAGAAGAAAATTCCTTGCAAGAAAGTTAGAACACGTTCTATTTTTCTACAAGTTTTTGGCTGTCAAGACACTGATAACACCGGTTTGACACAAACCATGTGCCCCGAAGGTGGTGATAGTGTTGTTTTTTTTTATTATTTTCTGACTTTTTTGTTCATGATCTGTAAATTTTAGTAAATGTCATACAATATTCTTTGGTCAGAAGGAACAGATCAATACACTGATGACTGATACACAGAAAGAGCAAAAAAAAAAAAAATCAAAAAAAAAAAAAAAATCAGTTTTTTCAAGTAGTCAAAATGGATTTTAAATGATCTTGTTCATTTTAGTGACATAACTTTTCATCAAATAAATAATTTGTCAATCAATTTACCAGCTCAAAAACTATTTTTCATCACATTTTCCATCATTTTAAAAAGAATGTACACATTTCAATTTCATTTACTCCATTGCTTTTTAGCTAATTGCATCATTTTCCCGCTTTTTTTATTCACATATTTTACAGAAACATGATAGTATTTCAAAGACAAAGGTATAAATATCGTGGGCAATCTTAATTTGACATTTCAGAAAAAATTGTGCCAGATTAAATATTGAAAGGGCCATTTATTTAGCTTATCTAAATGTGACATGTAAGAAACTTGAATAGGTGTAGACACGCCTTAATTTCAGCAGCATTATTTTAGAAATAAACAGCGTTACTATGACATCAAAGCGCCCACTTTCGAATTCGGCGGCGGTAGAATTGCGTCTCTATCAAAAACCGGCCATTTATTTTATTAATTTACACTCGATTTCATCACGGTAGATTTTAACTATATTTTTTTAGTTAGAAGTGAAATGGTAATGAAAAATATCAATACAATAAAATACAGGGCCAGTTCGTATAACTGTTTTAATATAAAATAAAGGGTGGTTAAATATATATTCTATCGTACCATTTAAATGAACATAATCTTGCATATGAGAAATTCGCTATTGCATAAGGCTAACAATTACTTAAATGCATTACAATATATCTTAATCCAATAAAACTGTTTTATTCAATCGAACACTTTTGTAAACTTCAAAATCACTTTAAGGTTATGAAAGGAAAATATTATGATACCAATATATACTGACAAAAATAGTAAGGCGATATGCTGAAATATAGTCCCCATACACGATTACAGTATATGTTTTTTTACAATAAAAATAAAAATACAGAAAAGAACAAGAGCTGTCCGTAAGACAGCGCGCTCGACTTTTTTATTGCTTGCCAATAAAAAAAGTTTTTGCAGTAAAAGGCAATACAAGAATCTCTGTATTTTTAAAGTGAACAATGGCCATGACAGCATTAAGATATTTAGTGAAGAATTATTTTACTGAATTGTGTGATACCCTTGAACACTGCAGCAAAGTTTGAAATGTTTAAGTCAAAAGAGGGCTGGTAAGAAAGAAAAAAAAACTAAGTCGATAAAAGGCCTTAATTTTTAAAACAAATCCTTGACAGAGTTACCTTCTCTTGCGTACAGATGGGGGTAATGATGTGAAATAGCATTAAAAGTTTTCAAAGCAATATCTCAAAGGGTTAAGGCAATAAGTGGATTTTACCCATATTCAATGTATTTTCTAAGTCAAAAAGGGGCATAATTCTGTCAAAAAACCTTGACAGAGTTATGTCCTCTTGTCTGTTGATGAAGGTCGTGATGGTAAAACAAAGTATGGTCAGTTTCAAAGCAATACCTCCAATGGTTTTGAAATAAAGTGAGGTGGTACAAAAAACTTAACCAAGCTCAATACACTTTCTAAGTCAAAAAAGGGCCATAATTCTGTCAAAAACCTTGACAGAGTTATGTACTCTTGTCTGTAGATGGAGGTTATGATGGTGAACAAGTATGGTAAGTTTCAAAGCCATACTTGTAATACTTCTGAAATAAAGTGGGGTGGTACGAAAAACTTAACCAAGGTGTGACGCCAACGCCGACGCCGACGCCGACGCCGGGGCGAGTAGGATAGCTCCCCTTTTCATAGAAAAGTCGAGCTAAAAAATGGAAAAAAAGGGATGCGTTTTGAAACCCAAACCAGTTTTGATATTAAAACATGTTATACCATCTCTGCCAGTTAGATTAAAAAAAATCTTTGCCTGGTATGGTTTTTAAACGATATACTTTCGAATTATTATCTCAATAATTTTAAGGTAATGACCACCACATGGATAATATTGTATATAAGCAAAAATTTATTCTCACTCATGAAATTTGGACTCTGTTAAAAGTCTTATGAATGTCAGCAAAATTATATATACAAAGCTTTCCATATGCAATAATTCTTCTTTATTCCAAACGAGTTTCATTATCATAACCTGATTTTCACTGTTTTCTTTTCTTTTATCTTTTGTAAGTATTTTAAGTTAATATAAACACAATGAAATGGATCTTCCAACCGGTTCATATTTAAAAATGTATTAAATGAACACAAAAATTGCTCGTAAACAAGAAAAAAAATTCTTTGTAATATGTTTACTATAGAAGTAACACAACAGATAAATGATAATAATGATGAGGAAAATATTGTTAAGGAAAGACTTTAAAAGTCAATTATGTTCACTCTTTTCAAAAAAATAATTTAAGTTTAATTTATCTAAATCATTTGTATAAATCTCTGTTAACCATGTACTTGCCCTTATATGTTTTTATTATAGATTGAAATGGCTATAAATGTTGTAACATTTAATGCTGAATAAATGTTATCATGTTATGTTATATACTATAGAATTGGAAAAATTGACAACATAGGTCAGTTAAATTCCTTAAAGGACACCTGTAAATAGTCATTTTTATTTTAAATTACCAAGTGGTTTTCGAGTTATAAACACTTTCTGAACTAAAGCTTTGGTATTAGGCTGGCACTATTTCAAAAGTAAGGGAACTCTAGATAATCTATAAAAGCATCCTTATGAAAAACGTCTTCCTATTGATAATTATAAAATATATACTATTCTCAACTTTGAGTAAAATATTTCTATCACAGAAATTTATTAATACATGTATTTATGAAATTCTTACTGAATATGTCTAATTTAAATAAAAGAAAAAATAAACTATGTATAGGGAGCTGCATTACCTATTATAGGTCAAGTAAAGAAGTCTTTTTTTTTCAAAAGAAAAATGCCATTTTAATGACACTACATATTCATACATACTCTATAGTGTATAGAATTTTGAATATAACATAAATGCTTTGTGTGAAGGTGTAGCAATTATCAACATTTTCTAATATCAAATTTGAGCACAGTATATCTTAAAGAAACAAAAAATAACATTGAAATAACAACCGACTGAAGCAAAATGAAATTTTCTTTCAAAATGTTTGAAATATGTATAAAAATGTAACCCTACTCAATTTAAACCACTTGTTTGACTTTTTTTCCAATTAGGGTCTGTTTTCAAAATTTACCAATTATTTCTCAGAAGTATATTGTTTCATCTTGTCACACATTAAATATTATTACCGTGTTGTTAAAATCTTATTATTCTTTGAAAATATCAGATATATCAGGATTTTATAGAAGAACTGAAAAGGAGTTTTTTTTTATATTTACCATTTAAATCAATCCAAACTGCAAACAGTTTTACCGTTTTAAATGTTTTCAAATAAAAAAAAAAAAAAAAAAAAAAAAAAAAAAAAAACCCACACCAATTTTGGGGATGGCCATCACAGTTTGAAATTTTAAGTTCAACGAACGAGTGAATTAAAGTAATAAATATAAAAAATATATGTGGCCGAAATGAAAAAAAAAATCTTTCGATAAAGTCACGAAACGACCTCTTAACAAATATTTAAATATGTTAATATTGTGAAAATTTATTCTATGAATAATTTTAAATCTCATAAGTTATTAGATTAATATTGTTTACTCTGTGTAAACTGTTTTCGTGTATTTTTATTGTAATTGTTACTATAGACTTTGTAAGAGGACTACATAAAAGGAGACACTCACCTTTTCTTACGCATATCTGTCTTTTCCCTTTTAACACCATTTGACACGGATGTTTTCCTTTTATCGCCAGACACTGTTGTTGTTGTTGTTGTTGAAGAGATCCGTCTGCTCTCTTTGCTTCCATTTTCTACGACACTTTTCCCGGTGTTTTGCTGGTACGGGAGTCCCTTTGGAGGAACGGAGCTTCCAGGTAAATTGTCTTCTTTTTTAACAGTATCCGCATTTTGTTTAGGTGCTTGAGAACTTGATCCCGACCCCATTTGTTTACCTTATTATTTCCTTTAAAACATACCGTTACCGTCCCGATATAACCTGAATCGGAAAATCCACGATTTTAGATTTTACATAGATATGATTAAAACATGACAGTATATTTATGTTTACGCTACACATGTATATTGTAATAGATCCCCAGACATTTAAATCAATGCAAGTGCGCAATTTCCGTTGCGATAAAAGAATGTCAGACGTGAGTCGGTGAACCGTTAACCGGTATCGTTATGTGTACTGGATTTTCATTTTATGATTTAAAATACGTATCGATTAGTCTATGTTACATACCTTTATTATATACCGTAATTGAAAGAAAACCAATACAAAAATAGATCAAGTCATTGACAGTTATGGAAGTCTACCGCTGCCAAAATTGCAGGTCTATACTATATTATAATCCATACTGTGTAAATTGTTTTTAGTACTTACGGAAGCCTATTAAGACCACGTTTTGAAAATATTTAAGTTTTATTATGCGAGTGCAAAGATACCGGATCAAGTATATAGAAGTTCAAATGACCCTAAACTGCTTTCGTAAATAATTTATTGCTCATCGATTTATACATGTTTATGTATATTTATATCTAACTGATCAATTTGTTACGCCTGATCGTTGTTTATTTGTCATTGTAACTGATCCGTATCTGTTAAACTGTATCGCTATATTTCATACATAATTAATAAAAAGTCCGAGGTGGCTCTTGTATGGACTGATCCCTGACAGTGAATCATAGCAAATCACAAATGAATGTGTAAAAATTGAAAGTACGCCAGGAAACTTTCCAATTTCCGTAAGTACCCGTGTTCCATATGTAAATGAACAAAAACGCGACTCATTATCATCATCGACGTCGTCGTCGTCATGATCATCATCATTGTCATAATCATCATCATCATCATCATCATCATCATCATCATCATCATTGTCATCATCATCGTCATCATCATCATCGTAAACATCATCATTGTCATCATAATCATCATCATCATCATCATTGTCATCAACATCATTGTCATCAACATCATTGTCATCATCATCATTGTCACCATCATCATCATCATCATCATTGTTATCAACATCATTGTCATCATCATCATTGTCATCATCATCATTATCATCATCATAATCATCATCATAATCATCATCATTGTAATCATCACCATTGTTATCATCATCATTGTCATCATCATCATCATAATTGTCATCATCAACATTGTCATCATCATCATCATTGTCATCATCATTGTCATCATCATCATCATTGTCATCATAATTATCGTCATCATTGTCATCATCATCATTGTCATCATCATCATCGACGTCGTCGTCATGATCATGATCATCATCATTGTCATAATCATCATCATCATCATCATCATCATAATAATCATCATCATAATCATCATCATTTTCATCATCGTTATTGTCATCATCATCATCATTGTCATCATTATCATCATCATTGTCATCATCATTGTCATCATCATCATTTTTGACATCATCAATGTCATCATCATCATTGTCCTTATCGTCATTATTGACATCAGCATTGTCACCATCATCATTGTCAACATCATCATTGTCATCATCATCATTGTCATCATCATCATAATTGTCATCATCATCATCATCATCATTATCATCATAATCGTCATCATCATCATAATCATCATCATTTTCATCATCATCATCATCATCATTGTCATCATCGTTATTGTCATCATCATCATTGTCATCATCATCATTATCATCATCATTGTCATCATCATTCATCATCATCATCATCATCATCATCATTTTCATCAACATCATTGTCATCAGCATCATTGTCATCATCATAATAGTTATCATCATCATCATAATCGTCATCATAATCATCATTTTCATCATAATCGTCATCATCATCATAATCATCATCATTGCCATCATCATCATCATTGTCATCATCGTTATTGTCATCATCATCATTATTGACATCATCATTGTCACCATCATCATTGCCACCATCATCATTGTCCGCATTATCAGTGTCATTATCATCATTGTCATCACCATTGTCATCATCATCATTATTGACATCATCAGTGTCATTATCATTTTAATCATCATCATCATTGTCATCATCATCATTATCATCATCATTGTCATCATCATCATTATTGACATCATCATTGTCACCATCATCATTGTCACCATCATCATTGTCATCATCATCAGTTTTATCATCATCATTGTCATTATAATCATCATTGTCATCATCATCAGTGTCATCATCTTCATTGTCACCATCATCATCATTGTTACCATCATCATCATTGTCATCATCATCATTGTCATCATCATCATTGTCAACATCATCATTGTCATCATTATCATCATGATGACCATCATCATCATGATCATCATTGTCATCATCATCATTGTCAGCATTATCATCATTGTCAGCATCATAATTTTCACCATCAACATAATCATCATCATCGTCATCATCATCATTGTAATCATCGTTATTGTCATCATCATCATTGTCATCAACATCATCATCATAATTGTCATCATCATAATTGTCATCATCATCATCATTGTCATTATCATCATGATCTACGTCGGCGTAGTCATCATCATCTTCAACATCATTAGAAGTATCATCTTCGTCGTCATCATTTATCATCATTACCGTCGTCGTCGTCGTTGTGAATTCCGTTGAAAAAAAGACATTGATTATCATAGTTACGTACTATAGATGTCTCTAAACAAGTGCAATTAATTAAACTATTTATCTGTACCCAATGAAAAAATCTTTTGATCAATAACTGTTCAGCTGATCTCATACAAAGAGTTATACCGAAGGTCATTAATATGCGCGCAAATGCTCATAGCAAATATACATAAAATTACATTTTAATTTTGAAGCACGGTTATACGAGCACATACAGATTATTATTATTACTATTTTTGTGCATTGATTATTACTGGTGTCACCCCGGTACAGAATTAGACTCAGCCATTGTAGTCTAGAAAGTGGTTCTTTAAAATTTTGAAATGATCTATTTCAAGTCATCCCAATTGATACTGGTGATATTTTAAGTATATCTTTAGTAAATATATACATGAAGTTTCATTTCTAAGTACTTTAAAGGCTGTTTTTGATTTTTGCAGGATTTCATTTCTGGGTGGAAGGTTTCAGGAAGTACTATGCACAAGAATACACACCAGTTACTATTTGGAATATTCTATAGTGATTACAGAAATTAAAAGCCGCAGAAAAACTCCAAGGGCTAATGTATTATGCTAATTTTACTTAGACTGCATTGGTGTTTAAAGGAATAAGCATGAAGTTCCTGTATCGGATATGCTTTGTCCAGAATTTAATGTGATGGATTTACTAAAGAATATATAGTACGAAAATTCACTAAGCCGACACCTACTATAGCATTGTCGCAACGCATAGCATACTGCCGCTGTCCGTCGATACGTACATGTATCAGCCGAATGCGGCAGTTTTCGAAAACCTCTTATTTCACTTTATACTTGTTGTTCTGTTTAACCTATATATCAGCTTTGACAGAACAACAGTATACATGCTTAAAGGCTACAGATCATTTGTTATCAGCGGACATTAAATTTTTTTTTTAAAAAATGGGCTCATGAATTATTATAATGGTGGCTACGAGTTTTCCGCTCAGACTGAACCTTTTTCCTGATGTTTGACTTGATTGTTTTCTTCCAATAAAGATTATTAGGAAACTTACTCATTGAATTGTATTACCAAGTGTTTTGTATACATCTGGCATAAGACCTTTTATTAAACTATTATTATCTATCTACCTTGTTTTATTTTGCAAACTTTAAAATATTTTCATAATTAGCTCTTTTCTAAAATTTATAAAAATTGAAGTGTATATACATATAAATTTTCTTCCGTACAAATACAAAAGTGATGGGGCGTCCGTGGCCGAGTGGTTAAGGTCACTGACTTTAAACCACTTGCCCCTCACAGCTGTTGGTTCGAATCCCGGCAGGGACTTTGGATTCTTTCATGTGAGGAAGCTATCCAGCTAGCTTATGAAACGTCGGTGGTTCTACTCAGGTGTCCGTTTGTGAAATGATACACCTGAGGTCTTCCTCCACCAGTAAAGCTGGAACGTCGCCAAATGACCTATACTGTGTCAGTGTGACGTTAAACCAAAACATACAAACAAACAAACAAACAAACAAACCAAAGTGATGGAGAAACGGCGAATCAATAACCAAACGCATTATATGATAAAAAAAGAAATATCGAAACGAGCAAAAGAACAATAAGAATTTGGAACAAAGTTATCATCATCCCGGCCTATCGGAATTTTTATATAAGGTGCACAATATTGTTATTTCATTATTACATAAGTTGCCCCCGCCTTTTCAAAGAAAAAGGGGGATGTAGAAATGGGCACCGTCTATCCGTCCGTCACACTTTCCGCCCGGTTCATAACTATGCCATTTATCAAAGGACTTTGAAATATCGTAGCACAAATGTTCTCTATAATAAAACGATGTGTAACAACCAATCCCCTACCTCCAAGGTCAAGGTAACGCTTGGTAATATTAAAGGTAAACATTGTATATTTGAGGCTATTTGTCTGTCCAGTACATAAATCAATAAAGGGATTTTAAAAATACTAAACACAAGTGTTAACAATATAGAGACGATGTGCCATGCTCAACAACCTGTCGCTTACCTCTAAGTTAAGGCCAGATGGAGGTCAAAGATTAACATAGTCTGTTATCGGGTATATATGAATCAGGCCCATAACTTCTTAATAGATTAAGGGATTTTGAAATTACTTTTCACAAATGTATACAATAATAAGAAAATGCGTTGTGCGCTACACCCATACCTCTACCTCCAACGTCAATATCACACTTGGAGGTCAAGGCTTAGTATGATCTGTCGTAGGGTATATTTTGTTTTCAGTTCATAACTTTCTTATCCAGCAGGGATTTTGATTTTGAAAATACAAATGTCCACAGTACAAAGATGTCTTGCGCAAGACACACAAACATTTACATTCAAGGTCAAAGTCGCACTATAAATGGTCAACATTGTCCATTCAATGGGCATTTGGGGTATCCGTTCCATAACTTTTTCATCTATCAAGGAATTTTAAAATTACTTGGCACAAATGTTGACAATAGTAAGACAATGTGTCATGCACAACACCCGGACCATTATCTCCAAAGTCAAGGTCAAAGCCTAACATGATCTCTTATACTTTACATTTTGTGTCCAGTCCAACATTTTATTATAGTCAAGGATTTCGAAATTACTTGGTACAAATTTTCACAATAATAGCACCATGTGTCACACACAACAGCCAGTCTCCAACCTGCAATGTCAAGGGCACACTTGGATACAAAAGCTTAACATGGTTTGTTCTAGGTCTGGTCTAGGTTATATTTTCTGTGCGCTTTATAACTTTTCCATCAAACAAGGGATTTTGGAATAACTTGGCCCAAATGTTTACAATAACAAGATACCATGTCGTGCCCTTAACCTTGGTTGCAGGGATATACATGTATGTGTAGCGAACGACACATTGCCTCGATATGATGAATATTTGTGCAAGCTGATTTAAAAATGGGAAAGTTGCGAAATGGACAACATCATGTCCTATTAAAACCCATGTTAAGGGCTGACCTCTGAGAGTGACCTTGACTTTGGTAGAGGTTTGACTTTGGTAGAGGACTTCGTGTTATGTACGACACTTCTTATTTAATGGTGAAAACTTGCGCTAAGTTATTCCGCATCCATTTATCAATGGCTCAGTTATGGACTGTATGAGAAAAATTACTGACGGACAAACAGACTGATTTGAAAAATGGACGTTCTAACGGGACAGTAATAATGTGGCTACTCCATTGTTCTCTCTATTGTTCATGTTAGCCACACAAAAGAAAATAGCTACATAAAAGCATTACGGATTGAATGACATCAAAGAGAAAGAAAAGTTACCTATTGTCTCTCTAGCCACATTATTACTGTCCCGTGATAGCGCACAATCACAGGGACGAACGGAACACGAGTTTCCTTTTTTTTCAATCGGAAAGGCGGGGTTTGTCGTGGATGGGTTCTCAGAATTAAAAATGCCATGTATTGAATTAAAAAGGTTTCTAATGCTTTAATCATTTGTATGATATACTACATTTATGTAAATAATTTTTTTCCGTTAAAACTTTTTAATCTAAAGCTTAAGAAAATACATCTTAATGTATCAACAAAGTATTAATGATTAACATTTATTCCTTTCCAATGTTCCAGTTCCAGTATATTTTCTCCTTAATATTCAGATTTTTCCTTACACGTTTCTTAACTGTTCCTACTTCGTTCGTACTGTCAATGGAACACATCTTCCCAAGATATTTGCGCATTTTAAAGAGAAGTAACGAATTGTCGGCCCCTGGATGTGTGACACACATTTTATGTTACGCATTCACCATGAAAAGGTGTTGATAAGGTATTATACAAAACAACACAGGTCAGAGGATTATTGTTTTATTTCTTGCTTGACAATAAATCCGTTTTAATTAATACAACAGAAAATAATAAAAAAAGGAGATAATGATAAAAAGAAAAATACGAAAACATAAATATGAATTGTAATCCACTCGCAGAGCAGTTTTAAAGCTGTAAAAAGTTTAAACATTAATGTCTTACTATGTTTATCTCTCTCTAAAAGTACATAGCGATTTTTCACATCACAAGATCACACACACACACACACACACACACACACACACACACACACATATATATATATATATAGCGGGAAAAAAAGAATGAAGTGATGCCTTTTCCAGTTTACATTGCAATTGTTTATTAACAAAACTGTAATAAATAATTGGAGAGAAATATTTCTCTTCAATTATTTATTACAGTTTTGTTAATAAACAATTGCAATGTAAACTGGAAAAGGCATCACTTCATTCTTTTTTTCCCGCTATTTTTATCCGTATTGTTTTAAACTTTACATTTTGGATATATATATATATACGGGATCTATTAACCATATTATTTCCAATCTCAAACTTGAAGAATGAACTTTCTTAAAAATTCAAATATAATAGAAAATAAAAAAATAATTAAATTAAAAAAATAAATAAATAATTTTTTTTTACAGTATACGACACCATTTTTCTTCATAAAATCTGCGCACACAGGAACACACAGGCACGTATCGTTGATGTACATGTACGTTTATTCATATATGTAAAAACTTACTTCAATGACGCCCCTGTAGTTAAATTATTTAAATATAAATGTAAAATCTCAACTCACAAGTAGGTAAAAAGCATGGTGCAACCAGTTTCTTTATACGTGAAACAAATACCAAAACTCGGTAGTATCGAAACAGAGGCATTATTCCATAATGCACAAATAGCCCGAATGCATTTTTTCTGTGCATTAGATTCTCAGATCGTGCTTCTGCAGACGTAAACGCACGAAAAAAGGTATACAGTCTATGTCTATTAACAGCCTACTGTTCACTGTCTAACCTATCAACTTGGCATTTTTTTCATCACACTTACATAAATATTGTGTCAGCACTTAGATATATAATTAAAAAAAAATGTTTAAAATAACATATATTCAACTTTTTTAACAACATCTATGTAAATTAATGTCACTATTAATAGTATTTGACAAGTCGGTGACCCCCTATTTCTTTAGTCATTAAGACTGAGTATACATTTTAAAGGACCTTTAAAGTAAAGAAAAAATAAAACATTTATTTCAGGAATTTTTTGATAAGCCGCTTTATAGCCAACAAAAAAAATGCGTCTAATCTGAACGTCAAATTTTAACACAAAATTGACGATTTTCTTTCCATTTTTCAAAGATTTTTCGGCGTAAAACGTCAAATTTTGTTTCAGACTAAAGGAAACAAAATTTCCGTGGAATGCTGTAGAATTAAGATATTTTGCGCGCCTATGGCTTTGTAATACAAGTTACAATTACCAAGGATACGCAACAACGTCATGTTTAAAACGGGCTTTGATGGTCAACTTTGACTTGGTGTGTACAAAATTTGGCTGAAACTATTGGAATAAAATTAACGGAATCTAATCAGAAATATGGTCATCTTTTTGTATGTCAATTTTCAAGACGCTACTCGAAAGTTCGCAAAGTGTCGCGTTCTACCTTAAGTTCGATTGTGATGAAAGCTTAAATTGTTTTAGCTTCTAATTCCTGGAAACAACATACATCCTTCAACTTAATATTGCAGAAATATTTTATCAAGCAATATGACTGCGACCCGAGGTCTTATTTTACGTCATCCCTGTGTTGACAGCCACCTCTTATCGAAATAAAATATACATTAACATTTACAGAAATAAAAAATAACAGCAACATGATTTTCAAATAAATTTAAAGATTAAAAATGACTTTATTTGTTTAAAATGACATCAACAAATTTTATGAGTATACAAAACTGATGAACTCATCCGAACAATACACTTTTTTAATTAGACTAATAAAAATATGGTTTAAGTACCATAAGTATCATATACTTCCTATATAATTAGAGGTATAAATATTTGACAACACGAAATATTTTATAAATATTTGTCACATGCCGAATGTTTAGCCTTAACAAGGTATCATTGTTTTGAAAGATGAAATGAAATGAATAAGTTAAAAAAAATCAATTGAATTTACAAGTTGACCAATCAAAAATAATAATGAATATAAACGATAACATGAAAATATCTTGAACATGAAAACAAAATATAAGAATGGAAACAAAATATAAGATGAATAAGAAAAATATAATATTTTAATTCATAAATACTTACACAACAAATATTTATTGATAAAACAGACAAATTGCAGTATTTACAGTTATAGAAGATTTTTCTAACTTAATTGTAATATGCTTGCTATATATTACTTAATTTACTTAATTTGTAATTAAGTAACAGACCCAAAGCGCATTCTGGTTTGCTATGAAAAAACCTTTATTTGAAACCTTTTTCACATTTTGAAACAAGTTTTCGTAGAAGGTTTCCAAATTGGAGGATGTTTTCCTGTAAATCTCTTTCGTCGGTAGCAATCGATTGTTTTGCATCAATAACAACAACAACTGGTTCGTTAACCTATGAAAATAAAAAAAAATCAAATTTGCTAATCTAGATTGTAAAAGCATAGTTATATATAGAACACTATATAACATATTACACGCAGTAGTAAGCCCCATGGAAATATGACACCTGAAAGAATAGTGTCACTGTCCGACCATGATATTCATACCTTTGGGCACTGTATATTGGCAACTCTACACGCGAGGAACTGTGGCTCCCTTAGAATATTTATACCTGTGTTACTTGTGGTCATCATTTTTGGATAGGTTACCCATTTCCTCAATCGGAACGTCATCGGCTATTATCTATAATAACCTCGGAGTAAATGCTGATTGAAAGAAGGTCTACCACGTGGTTTAAGATTAAAACATAAACAGAGAGTGTAACCTTCGATAATTTAAAACAAATGTATATTTTTGACATCCAAAAGAAAATAAAGACTGTTTCGTTACAATTAGTATTGAAAATATGACTGACAACCATTTTTTAATTAAATATGCATTCTGATGTACAATAATAAACAAATGCGACTCAATGTAAACAGGTTGGCATTTTGTTCTTTCGAATTATACAACCATAATAATAAATATATAAATAATCTATCGTTTGCTTTTGTATCTATGAATTCACTTATTTTATAATTTAAGGTGGACCTTTACTTGATATGTTGGAAATAAACTTGTCGACAACTCCGAGCATTGAATTACTATTTGTTTACATGTTTAGTTTCTTAGAATAGGTTAGACCGAAATACCGTATTCGTTCTGTGTATTCATACTTGTGTTCAAGGTCCTTATCCGAAGACTGAATGAAAGAGCCGAAAAGGTAAGATTGCCATTTCATAAGATACGATAAGTTAATGAAGATTTTCTAAAAGGAAAATAGAAGCATAAAAATTTCCTTTTTAAAACGACTTCATAATACGACTATATGATGTCAGCACTATTAAGTGTTGAGAATTGAGTACCGCTCGCCGGTGCTAGGGGGCGTGAGGGATGTTGCACTTACTCATTATCCCTCATGTACAGACTCAGTCAAACCGAGTCTGCAATTTTCATGTAATTTTGTTGTGATTAATGCTTCCGAGTGATCACTTTGTTTCCAGATTTTTATATCCAAGTATAATTAATCTTATTGTCCAGTGCAGAGGCTTTAAGTGGAATGATATTGACAGATGGGCGTTTTTCACATTTTGTTTGGACCGTTGTTGTTGAATTTTACAACTAAAAATAATAAAAACAACAACAGCAACAAAACATTACCTCTTGTTAATAATGTGTACTCCTTTAATACCAAATCAGCAATAAAAATTACAGTTATACTTTTTTATAATAGATAAGGATAACATATGGCCAGATATATAATGTATTTATCCAATGGAAGGCGCTGATGAGTCATAAAGGTAAATGTCTCTTAAATCAGGGAGTATGGGTTCGAGTCTTACTAGTGTATTATTCAAACGTGACCAGTAAAGATAAGTTCCAGGAACCTGACTTAAAAGTGGTTCTAAATCAAACAAAATTTAAGCTATCATGAATGTATATGTTTCAACCGAGCCAATATTGTATGATGAAAGGGGCAACTATATTCAGGTTGCAGATAAGGTGGATGTACATTTTGCCTTATTATGAGCTTTTTAAACTGGCTAATAATTTTTCAGCATTTAATTGGGTTCACTATGTTTCATTTTAGTGGTTTGCATTCTTAAAACTCAAACAAAATTTTGGACAAAACATATACAATATACAGATACATGTAATTTGATAAAAAAGGTCTATTAAAAAGAAATAACAGATACAGTGAAACGACTACAAAATACAATAAACTTCAATATAACATTTCACATGATCTAATAAATTTTGTTAAAGTTTGTCATTCTTGACCTAGTAGATTTTTGCGGGAAAGAGACGTTAATGTGTTAATGATTGAGGAATTCAAGTTTATTTATCTGTAAACATTAATAAAACGATAAATTGTTTTAAAGAATAACAAAGATTTTGAATTCTTTACATTTCATCACTTTGAACAAAACGGGCAAATAAATAGGAACTACGTTAATCATACAAAAACATACACAACAGTTTATTTGACATAATGAAATTTGCAAAAGAATGCAAATTCCTTTTAGTCATTTAGAATATGATAAGATGTTAATTTTGGACGTACCTTATTTACTTCAATGTAAATATTTGTCTCACAAAGCTGGTCTATCGCAATAAAAGACTCGTGTAATAAACGAAGGTAGTCGATAAGTTGTTTGGACACTGCTGCAACAATACTGGCTGACAAACGTCTCTCGTCATTAATTATTTCTTGGATACTTCTCATCGTTCCGGTTGGTACATGTTCATGTTTCATTCGAACAGTTCTGCTGAATTTCTGATATTCTATTATGGCATCGCCTCTTTCTAAATGAAGAAGAAATTAAAAATTGAATGAGATATTATTGTAACAGTTATTTGACAGAAATCAGCACAAACTATTATATGATTTGAAAATAATCATGAGCAACCTGTTAAATAAAATATAACATGTAATAAGTTTTATTTAAAGTCATTTGAATTGTCATCATTCTTGAAACAAAACGCCAAGTCATACATATCCAATAGCCGCCGGAATTGGAAACAATATTAATCATATCAAATTTACGTTACAAACACCTTCTTAGATTATAAAATTGATAGCTTTTAAAAATTAACTTAGAATGAAAAAATAAAACTTCCAAACTAATACAGTTGTTGTTTGAGAAGTCAAAAAAACTTAAGAGCGATTTCAACAAACATAACGTGATAGAAATTAACTTGTAGCCGATTACATTTCTTTACCTTTCTGGACAATTGTTCTACTCTGCTCATCAATACTAGGATTGAAACTCTAAAAATACAAAAGGGAAGTAAGCTCATTCTTAAAATGATTATTATTCATAAAGACGTCTTTAACATACCTAGTCACGGCATCAAATTGTGTTCAATTGCTGTGCTAATTTTCATTATTCACTTAATTTTGCCAACGGTGAACGCTCATTATGTCTTTCTCAAATAAATCATATTTTCAAAATAATCAATGGCAATCATATATACTAGATGAATTATTTGTGCAAAAATCGGAAGGATGAAATATCCTTTTTTAAAAATTTCAAATATCGGTTTAGTTTGAAGATTTCAGGTTCAGACATATATGATCAATTATGTCAGATGAATTGAACTTTTGTATCATTTTCAGAAGATCAAGATTTAAGGCTTAATATTGCACAATGATTCTTGAGCCGAACACTGTTGCTACAAAGGATAATACAGTACAAATATTATATACGTCAAGGTTTGCAAAAATCTGCTGCAACCAAAGGTACATGTAATTTTGTTTTCTGAAGAGAATCTTATTGAATTACTTGCTCGCTTAATGTGAATTTGGAATATAATCAGTATATGATTGAATATTACGAGTGACATTTTGTATCTTGATGGATTTATAGTTAAAACTTACGTTGTTGTTCATGGTGAAAAAAGTTTCATAGAAAAGCGTAGAGCATCGGAAATAATCTAAAACTTATGCTCACAAATGTGAGAAAGTAAGACCAGGGTATCGCAGGAAAGAAAAAGATGGTTCAGCTTCTCCAGCCACATTATTCGCCACTCGTTAGTCGTCCGTGTGAAACATTCTATTTCACTTTATTTAAACAAAAGCATTATTTAGTGTCAATATGACTCTCGTGGTACGTTGGGTAGTGCAATTTTCTGCAGTATATTTATCTTTCGAAGAACTGCATATATGCCTTGATCATCATGATGCTGCATAAGAAAAAGTTCTGAACACTGTTCTTACTGAGCAGAAGGCTTTTAATATTTTTCCTATACAACGTAATGCAATAAAGAGGATCGTTTTTGTGTCGCCTTGAAAAGGTGACATATAGGGGTTACTTTTGTCGGCGGCGGCGTCTGTGTCGGCGGCGTCGTTGTCGTTGTCGGCGTCGGCGTCCCCTAAAGCTTGTCCGGAGCATAACTCAGTCACTATAAGTCTGATTGACTTCAAACTTGGTATGCATGCTTCTTTCAATAACCCGCGAAGTGCAGTGCACAAGGACCGGTACTTTGCAGTTCTTATTTTTTTGAGTTATTGCCCTTTGTTAATTTTCATACTTTAATTTTGTCCGGGCCATTTCTCTTCAACTAAAAAAGCTATGGACTTGAAACTTCATAGGATGATAAATCTCATTAAGAAGAAGTGCAGTGCACAAGAAACCGCGTACTCTGCACTTCCTAATTTTTGAGTTATTGCCCTTTGTTAATTTTCATACATTATTTTTGTCCGGGCCATTTCTCCTAATGTATAAAAGCCATGGACTTGAAACTTCATAGGATGATAGGTCTCATTAAGAAGAAGTGCAGTGCACAAGAACAGGTACTCAGCATTTCTTATTTCTTGAGTTATTGCCCTTTGTTTATTTTCATACTTTAATTTTGTCCGGGCTATTTTTAAGTATAAAAGCTATGGACTTGAAACTTCATAGGATGATAGGTCTCATTAAGAAGAAGTGCAGTGCACAAGAATCGGTACTCTGCATTTCTTAATTTTTGAGTTATGGCCCTTTGTTAATTTTCATACTTAATTTTTGTCCAGGCCATTTTCTCCGAAAGTATAAAAGTTATGGACTTGAAAATTCATAGGATGGTAGATCTCATTAAGAAAAAGTGCAGTGCCATAAGAACTGATTACTCTGCATTTCTTATTTTTGAGTTATTGCCCTTTGTTGATTTTCTTACTTTATTTTTGTCCTGGTCATTTCTCCTCAAGTATGAAAGCTATGGACTTGAAACATCATAGAATGATAGATCTTATTGATAAGAAGTGCAGTGCACAGAAACTGCTGCTCTGCACTAATTATAATTTTTTTAGTTATTGCCCTTTGTTATTTTTCATATTTCATTTTTGTCCTGGTCATTTCTCCTAAACTACATTGTTCACAAGGCGACACATCCGACTCGGGGAGTTCTAGTTTACCCCAAGGACATGATAAATCTAGCTTTTGATACATACTAGTATACGTGGCAATGTAATTTGCCAAATATCCTAGTTGTAGTAAACGAAGTTTTAGACAGGGAGATTAACTATAGGCATACTTTTATCGACTTTTGTAAAGGAATCAAGGCGATGTTTCATGCAAATATGTATCTAAAGCCTTAGGCACTGCTGTTTAAGATACAGGCCATTGTAAGGAATGGACTCTAGATCTAGTGCAGGACAATTTCTTACTCAAGGGGCATTATTTATATAACTTTTGTGCAATGCTATGAATCCAAGTAAATGTAAATGAAGACAAGAAGAAGATTTAAATTCATTTTCTGAGAACTGTAATTTCTGATGAAAAGATTTCTTCACACTATACAAGTTTATGTTGCAAAAGCAACCCCAATATAGTACCATTATTGATCAAAGGATATTATAATTCATATAACTTTGTATTGTTTAGTTCGCAAGGCTATAAATGTAAAAATCTTAGATCCGGGTCATATTGTTTTAAAGATGAATATCTAAAGTCTTTTTAATTTTAGGGGAGACGACTTTTTAAAGACAACTAGTATTTCCACACAAAAATTGAGAGATGGGGTGAAGTTTGTTTTAACTACTGTGACTTTCATATACATAAAACAGGAAGCATTTTGAATACTTTTTGTGAATAAAGGTTATCAAATGAACACTCCTCAGAACTACCAATGATCATGGATAAGATGTCCTGTTTAAGAAAATTTTGATACCGTAAAACGATGCACAACAGAAATTATGCTTCGGTCCACAAAAGCTCACTCTGAGTTATTTGTTTTTCAGGTGAGCTAAAATCTATTTTGTTTTGAAATAACATACTTTCAATAGTAAAAGAGTGTTTATCATAATACGTCTAGCACACTTAATTAAACTCAATGTAAACGTCAGTGAGAAGAAACAAACACATATTTTACCTTTTTCCCAATTATTGCAGTCACTGTATACAAAAACGGATTACAGGCAGAGTTAATTGGTAATATGAAAACGACAGTCCATGCATAAACGTCACCTGGAATCGGATATCCATTTAATGCCAAAATACCTAAAAAAGGGATAAGTGTATTTTTATAAAGCTGTGTGATAATTGGCTGAACAAATCAAACTGTTTAAGAAATATGATTTATAAACTACAAAAATGCCATGTTTAAAAATTGTTTGTATGAAGTTTTTAATGATGTTTCGCATTTCTTTGTGTACGCAAATATGGAACATTCATATATTCGTACTTTTTGGATACAATATAGGATTCTACATAAATATCTGGGAAAAAGGTAATCCATCGGAAGCATTAAAATCAGCAAAATTACATGAAAATTGCAGACTCTGTTTGATTGAGTCAACATGGAGTTTAACTGTCTTGTTACCTTGACCTTGAACTAAATAACTTCTCTTTTACAGTACATCTCAAGATATTTACATACTGAATAAGAATGACACCAATAAATAAATAAATTTTGTATAATGCAAAAGTACAAAAAAAACAACAAAAAACAATTTTAGCATCAGTGACATTGGCCTTGGTATCAGACTGTCAGACTGTTCTATTACTTCATAAAAACAGATTTGAAAATTTGGGTTAACGGCGCACCTACACAGTTTAAGTTATAATGGCGCCGAAACAGGAAAGTTTAAATTGTGTGTTTACCGGGGGTGTCAAAAATTTTATAACAAAGAAAAAAAACGGAATTTTCCTATGAATAAAAAATTTATAGAAAAAAAAAAAGGGAAAAATCCCCAAAAAGTTACAAAATTTGGAAAAATATTTAACATCCCTCGGCTGTTTAGTCGTTATAAACGGTACTGGAAAGGGAGAAGACAATTTTGGGTCCCCCTATTTTCCCCAAACCAGGGCCCTTTAAATCAAAAATTAAAAACTTTTAAAACTTTTAAAATTGTAAAATTTTAAATTTAATTACTCCGCTGATTTTTTTAAAAGGCGGTTAAAAAATGAACCTAGTGTCATTAAATTTTAAAGGGGCCGGGAATGACCCCAAAGTAACAGAATGGGTTTCGCCAAAAACGAAAAAACAATTGAAAGATATAAAGAAAATTAAATTTTGAAAGGGGATAGGAGGTTATTGAGCCTGCATATCACAGGTTAAACGTTGTCAGGAGAATGACTGCCTTGATGTTATTTAATCTTAGGAAAGATTTAGTAATAAAACTAGAACCAATTTCATGGGCAGCACCGCCTGACTAAAAATTGAGATATTCTCGGTTGGAAAACTAGCATGCAATTGTTTAGTTAACACTTTTTTTAGGTACTTTTATCTTCTTTTTTACCTCAAATCCATATATACATTTAAACAACAAACCCTGATTATTATTTACACTAAAATCAAATAACTCTGATCATTATTTACACCCAAAACAGAACACACATCATTTATCAACCACTTATACGAAATATCTTTTCACGTATAAGTCTTTTATACGAAACAATACTAGACACCTGGCAGGCCCAAGCTCTTAACAACTTATGGTGAAACAAAACAATAAAAATCGCCACAAAATGTATGATATGAATTTTTACAACTCTAAGATACAGTATAAACCACGAACATTTAACCAACAATATTAACGTCACAAATAACTTATCAGCATCAGACAACAACTTAAACTAAAACACAATAATTACAAATATCTTCAAAAACAAAGCATCAACTAATATAATCTTGACAAGACAAAATCATTCCAAACATTCAACCAATATCAACCAATTATGTCTTACCAAACAGATATAACTCAAAAACCAAATAAAATACAACAATAAAACAACTCATTACAACCAATGAACCATGATCAATTAAGATCACCACAATCTAATTCAACCAACTTCAACAAATAAACGAAACTCCCTTCAAAACAAAGATTTTCTCTTCTCTAAAAAATGTAAGCTACACACTACAAGTGTGCATTCTCTAACTGATAAAAATCTCTTCCAAAGCTCGCAAATTTGCTATTTGACATTTACATGTAGAAAGCAACCAGGTTTAAAAATACACTGTTCATTGCAATATGATACACTTAGTGTATCGCTGTAGGAAGACATTAACTCGTTGTAAAAAAAATCTAAAGTGAAAAACTGTACGATTACTTATTATTCTGACAGATGTCAAAAGACGAATTTAAAAAGCTGGCACAATGTACTGAGTGTTATTGTACAAAATTCAAGTAGGAATACTGGAAGCATCCAAATTAAAACAGGTCAAATAGAAAGGACGAAAAAAACACAAACGTGTACAAACAACAATAACATCGCGCTGACCTAAAATATAACATTTTTAAATATAAAAAAAATAATTAAAAATATTAAATATATAACAATGTACAGGGCGACTTTTTACGACCTCCAAACGGCACAAATAACACTTATGTCGAAATAAAATATAGAAAAACGAAATCACTAAAGTACGCCCAAAATGACAAAATTTAAAATGTTGCAGTCTCGGTTGTTTGAGCCTGTTCATTGATGGTAATGAAAGTTGCATCCATCCAAGCTGCCAATCACCGTCTTAAACAGAATTCAACATTTAAATTTTAAACCATACAATACTATTTCATTGAAAATAAACACAGTTGAAATGACTGTAAGTGCATTGTCAAAGAAGAATAATTTATAATACTTAATAATGCTTGTCCAGAGATTAATTTGAAAATATTTGAATGGATCGATCAAAAAATTCAAACTTCTTTGAAGGCAAAACCCCCAAACACAGGAGAAAAAAAAGGGCTACACCCCTATCTAGTAGACTCTAAAAACTGTGTGTAGCTTTTAATGAGAATCATTAAAAAAAGAATTAATACCCCCCGGGCGAGCTAAAGTAACATTTTGAAATACTAGTACCGTAAAAGAAAGTATAAAAAAGACAATGCAGAATGTTGTTTTTTTGACTTTTGACACTGCACTGCCTTTCATTGGTATCTATCAAATAAAGTAAGTTTTTAACCCCAATTCCTTCAAAAAATAAATTTATTTTTTTCTCTGGAAAAACATTTATGTAATATTTATAAAGGGGGATTTATAAAAAAAAGCGTAGCAATGGTGAAGTTACTAATTCTTTTGACAACTTCACTTCAAAATGTCTAAAAAAAATATGTTTACTTGAAATTTAAAAAATCATTAAAAAAGGGTTTAAAACGTTTTAAAAACCGGACACAGCATTTTTAAATTAAAGGGGGTACTTCAAATTTATACAAAGGAAGAGGTAACATTCTTTGGGCACTGGGGGGCTTCCCCAAGTTTATCTCAATCCCCAATGTGAAAATATAAATTAAATTTTCAAAAAAAAATTTCTTCTTTTGTTAAGAGTGTACCCGGGGCGCTCGGGAAAAGAGGGAAAGGGCGAACAAGGGGGGCGAATTTTTTTTCTCCCTTTGGGGAGCACATTTAAATTTTTTTAAAAATTTAAAATTTTTAAAACGAGATATGTACCCATTTAATTTCCCATCGGGAACCAAAAACCCGAAAAAACGGTTTGTTTTTCCAAAAGGAAAGGGTAAAATTTCTTACCAAATTTCAAATCACGGGATTTTTGGATTGCTGTGTTTTCTTTTTAGCCCGACCCCCGCCGAAGTTCTGTGAATATGGGGATTTTTCCTTTTACCACTAGAAAAAAAGGGACAGAAAATTTAAAACCAAACCCAAAATTTTAAAGAATATATTCCCCAACCCCGGAGTTTATGCGTTTTTAAAGGCAATGAAAACAAAAACCCCCGTTTTGGAGTAAAAAAATTTGGTTTTTTGGGAAAGGGCTTTTTGTAAATAAAGGGAATGATCGATAGGATAATCGAAATAAACCAGCTTATTCCGCAGCAGATGCATGCCTTCAATGGCCCAAACCTCACTGTTCCAAATGGAAACTTGATCACCAAAAGTCGGTCTAATGTAATTAAGCAAAGGAATAAAACGCTGGCTTCAGATGACACTGTAGATAAAACGCCGGCAGTAATACACCAATTACTGTTTCTCCATTGATCATCCAAAAAACAAATAAACTGAAAAAATTAAAAATATCTTTTTGAACAATACACTTTTTTAAAAGCCCAAATTTTGGAAAAATTAAAAACCCTGGGAATGTTTAAAAAAAAACCCCGTTAAAGCCTTAAAAAATTTTCCAAAAAATCAATATTTTTGTTTTCTGAAATTTGTGTAAATTCTTAAATAATATTAAGAAAAACAGTTTTTTTTTTATTTTTGTAAAGAAAAAAGCCCTCTGCAGGGATTAAAAGTGAAAAAAATTATTGGAAAATCAATTTTGTTCATTTTTGTTAAGTTAGCCCTTTATGTAAATGTTACGAAATGTGAAAAAAAATTCGAAAAATTTTTCCTTAGAGTAAAAACAAATTAAAACCCACTCAAGGGAAAAATTTGTTTCTTTAGAAATTAAAAACTGTATACACCCCGTCCTGTTTTTTTGTAGAGGAGTCAGCAATTGGGTTTTTAGGGTAAGGTAAAATCCCATTAGGAAATCTGCTGCTTTAAGGTTTGGGTTTCAAATAAAGCCCATAAAACCCATTTTTGCCGTTCAAAGATCGAAACAAAACGGTAGATGATTGACGAGAGGGTTTTCCCCCCACAATAAGCTACCCCCCAAATATCCACAGAAAAATTTCCCTTTAAGTCAGAGTTTTTTCATTTAAAATCCAAACGCATTGGAAAAAAAAATTCCCTTTCTTTAAAAGGTTTTTCCAATTTTCTTCCCGGAACGTTTAAAATGGGGAACAAAACAAAAAGAATTTTAAAACAGGTGTATTTAAGTTTCTTTAAGTGAAAGTTAACCCCTTTAACAAAAATTTTTCCAAAAATCTTTGACATTAAATTTCCCTTTTAAAAAAATTAATTTTTACGAACAAGAGAATTGCTGAAGGCATTATCTTCAATTTTCTTCAATTTTGTTGTTTGAAAAAATCTAAACTGTCTTAAATGTAAGCCTGAGAATGTAAGTTGAGCTTACTTTTTTCAGGTTTTGTTGACACCCTGAAATTTTTATAAGCTTCCTTTTTAATGCATTTTAAAAACCTTTAAAAGCTGTATCGATCTAATGAAACCTCTTCCAATTCGAAAGTTGCTATCTAGATTCAAGTAGGTTAAATGCCCAAGCCTACTAAATACCATAAAAGGTAACTGTTGTATTCTGTTATTTACTAAGATGCCAGGGATAACAGATTTTGCGTGTCATAGAAAGCTTTTTTATCAATATTGGTGAAATGTCACCACGACGA